ATGCGGTAGTAGCGGGGACACTCTATACAAGGTGTCCCGAAGTCCCATGATGACCCTTGGTGAGAACGTAGAACAGATTGAGGTGAGCAAGAAAGTCTTGTGTCGTTTTGCGATATTCGCAATAGTTTTTGAGAAATTAATTATTTTGTCTCAACAAATCAGCGTACAGAAAGCGACAGCGGAAAGAAAGATGCCTTCGGCCGACGTGCGACCGTGACACTCGCGAATCGTATCTCGCCGCATCCCTCCGCCCATAGCTACGAGACATAGCGAGTCTATGTCTCGTAGCTATGGGCGGAGGGATGCGGCGAGATACGATTCGCGAGTGTCACGGTCGCACGTCGGCCGAAGGCATCTTTCTTTCCGCTGTCGCTTTCTGTACGCTGATTTGTTGAGACAAAATAATTAATTTCTCAAAAACTATTGCGAATATCGCAAAACGACACAAGACTTTCTTGCTCACCTCAATCTGTTCTACGTTCTCACCAAGGGTCATCATGGGACTTCGGGACACCTTGTATAGAGTGTCCCCGCTACTACCGCATTATTTCATAAGGGTGAATTCCTGAGGTAATTTGAAAAAATCCTAATACAAAAATGGCGAGGCTATAATACTTTTCAAGTTATAAACAATTAAAATTGATCAATTATACTGGCTAAAGTACGCGTGCTCAGGTACAACACATAATAGTGCATGCATATGTCGTCCCTTTTCCAAATATTGATACGGAAGTTTCATACAACGTATGTAATAATAATCTGCCTTTTCTATCATTTAAATAAATAACATATCGCAAATAATAACAATTTCGTCAAAGTGTTATGAATAAAATATCACACAATACATTTATGAGAATCAATAAGCTGTCACACATTTGACGTTTCTTTCAGAGATTTACAACTAATTTCATATCTTATGCAAATGTTCTGTATCTTATGTGTATGCATTTGTACCATTGTGTGTTATACTGTATTTGAGCGCGCGTATTTTAGCCAATATAATTGATCACCTTTAATCGTTTATAATTTGAGAAGTATTATAGCCTCAACATTTTTGCATTAGGATTTTTTTCTTTAAATTACCTCAGGAATCCATCCTTAAGAGATAAAGGAGTAGTAGCGAGAGACTCTGTATATTCTATTATCAAAGTTTCTGATCTCTCGCCGTTGAACTCTTAATTGATATCAGAAACAAGGAAATACACGCTAAAAATTTTTACAGAATACTTTAAAATAAAAAGATATACCCATAAAATGATACTTGTAATCAATCGGTCATATCTAAAATAGTATGAATTATTAAAAAAAACGTGACATACAACCTATCTTTTAACTTGTTTTCTCATGATTTTATTACATTAATTTTATAATTTTTTTTTATTATTAGAGAGAAAAGAAAATATTTGGATCATTTTACAGATCTGCTTAATCGATTGCAAATATCATTTTATGGATATATTATTTTTTATTTTGACGTCATTTGTAAGAATTTTTAACGCGTATTGCTTCTGATGCCATAAATTAAGATGATCGCGATGAGAAAACAGGATTCTTCAGTATAAATTCAAAGTATACCACAAATTCCAGCTGTAATTTTAATAGATTCTTAGACAAATCATTAACAATTTTTTTAATGTAAATATCCAAATTTTGTGTTTATAATAGTATATCATAATCAGTGTTTGCCTTAGATTTTAAAACCATTAGAATGGAGATAAGATAAAAATCTCTAAATTTATCTTAATGATTCTTGTTAAATGAGATGAAGATGATTTTGCTTTTAAAAGATGAAAAATAAAATTATTAGCGCAACTTATGTTAATAAGTATTTATGTTAAAGATAATTTTTTAAGTAATTTTATTTTTATAAAATTATCCGTAAGAAATTATAAAAAAAATTATATTAAAACAGTATTCACTATTTTAAGTTTTTATTTTTCAAAAGTAAAAGTTTTTCAAAAGTTTTATCTGCTAAATGTTTTAATGTTTTGTCTAATAAACTACCAGTTTTTACTAAAAAAAAATAGGACATTGACTGGCTACGTGTTTTTCCGTACGGCTGTATTTCCGTGTTTGCGGAAGCGATAATTAATATTTCAAATAGTTAAATCCTAGTTTACTTCTATATATGATCAGATTTATCATGTCTTTTCCTACATTACATTCGAGTGCGTCGAAATAAATGTAGGGATTGACAAGGTTGTAGACGAACGGGGCGTCAAATTCTCTTTCACTCTCTTTATCCGTAAATACATGATCGAGATACACAGATTGAAATACCATAAAAAATTCTTTGTAAATATAATCATTTTTTTGCTTCATTCTTTTATAAGGCCTCATCTGACACCGAATTTAGACTTTACCTAAAACTTTATTAAAAACTCTTTACATCTAAAAGTAAAGATTTTGATATATCAAATGTATATATAATCGTAAAATGATGACTACGTTTACACTTTAACTTTACTCCGGTTTAGTAACAACTGTAGTTAATAAGCTTTTGTATTGGTATATTATTTTAGGTTTAAATATATATTTTAATTTAATGAAAGAATTCATTAACTATGATTGTTACTAAACCGGATTTACGTTGTTGTATAACAGATTAATTGTTCTGATTGATTTTGTTTTATTTCGAATTTATTAGATTCTAACTTATTCTTATGTACATATATATTTATTAAAGTTCACTTCTTGATACTCATAAGGGACAACCGCGAATTGTTCGTTTCTGATTTTGATGAAACTTGGCATATTTATAGAGTAGCAAAAAATAATAGACACATTTTTTATGTCGGCAAAGGCAAGTTTAACGGATAAAACTATCTCTCAAAGCTTTATCCTTTTTTTGCTATCTTGGTAACTATTAGTAGTATTATACAAAAAAAACTTCTTAAACAAAAATAATATGGCTTTTTATGAAAAATAAAATAGGCTATATAAAAATAAACAACATTTTAAACAATTAAGAAAATAGTCTTACTTTTTAATTTACTGAATTCGTTATACAGGGTGTTTACGAATTCCACCAACAAACTGATAGGATGTATTCATGGTCAATAGAGGATCAATTTTTCATTATGTTTATTTAGTTAGATCTGCTTTGCTACAGAGATATCAGACGTGAAAGTCAGTGCAGTCATGAAACATTATGGTAAAAAAGACATTGATACAGAGAGTGCAAAACAACTTTATTGAGTATTGTTAGCAGTTACAACAAGTGTTCGAAATTTCATCCATTAACTTCAATGCACAATTGACATGGGCGGACTATTGAGCGGCATATCCGCTCAAAGTCTTGTTTTTCACGAACGTGATCTGACCAAATAAACATATTGAAAAATTGATCCTCTATTGACCACAAATACATCCTATCAGTTTGTCGGTGGAATTCGTAAACACCCTGTATATATAGTGTATGTGTGTGGAAAAATTAACTTCTTTTATTCTATCTATATTATTCTATCCATATTGTTTCATATTTAAATTTTACGAACATAAAGATATATAAGTAAACGCCGTTCCGCGAGTCGTATACTCAGTAGCGTGCACGAGCGCTTAATTTTACATCACTACACAAATGACAAGCTCTATATACACATCTCTTGATTGAATTTTAATACTTACGTTAATTTAAATATTGTCATATTATTTACAGGTAAAAATAATTCAGAACTATTAACACATATAAATGCCACCGAACGTCCTTTTATTTATAATATACAAGGTGTTCAAAAAGTCCCGGACCGGTGAAATATCTCGAAAACTAAGCATTTTAGAAAAAAATGTTTCAGATAAAAGTTGTGGCGTTTAAAAAGATGTATTTACTGATCACATCAGTTTGACCTTGGGTTGCGTAGCGAAGGTCAGGTCAAGGTCACATTAATTTTT